CAGGATCATCAAGTAGAACACAACACAACCTTGATCTTGTTATTAGATTCAGTAAAATTAGGCATTTAGTATCAAGCACACGCATAAAGCTATAAAATCCATACAAACTTGTTCTGAGTTTAAGCCTTTAAAACCTGTTTATTCAAAAAAAAAGGAATAATCTTCATCTTAGGTTTGGCAAGCTACCAGATAATACTATAATGGGTAAGCAAAAATATCTTAGGATAGTTATATACAAAATAAATGAGTGAGATAATTAGGAAATTCAATTTAAAAACTTAAGAAAACAGAAGACCATGTGAAAGTGATAACATTATTAGTTCAGTAGTTTTCCATCATTAAAAGCAAACGTTTTCAAAAACTGAAAAAGAAAAATACATTCTTTTTTATTACAATGAAAAAAATTTTCTTTTTCAAATATCAAACAAGAATGAGAAAAATGTAAAGTTACCTGAGATAGTAGGGAAACTGATCAAAGGTGACTTGACTATCTCTGCCATCAACGATTTGGCGGAGCAATTCTTTCTCCAACTTCTCCAAAGTGATGTTAGTTGCTGCAGTCGAGCTGCTTCCGTTCCATTTACTCTAAGTCGAAGCCAACCCTAGACTGACTCATACCTCCATACCCACCCCCAACGCCAATAACAGTATATGCTTTTATTCCATTTCTTGCCTAAGATTTTTTAAACCCAATCTTTAATCTTTTTTCACGAGAGAATTAATTTTATTGTTCTTTAGAAGTCTTATGTTTCGGAAACCCAAATGAAAATCCTTCGAACTCTTGTGATATTTCCTCTGTCTCACACTTGCTACGTATACCTTTTTTTGGTTCCTAACAATTAAATGGTAATTTTTCGAAACATAAGACAAAGGAAACATAAGGATTTTCATTTATCCTATTCATTTGTGTAAGCTTTAATGCATTTTTTAAACTGACATAAAAATATAAAATACGTATTTTTTAATTTTGTGAAATCTATTTTTAATTTTTACTAAAATTTAAAATTATATTATTTTCATATATTTTATTCGTATTATATATTTATCTTGTCACTATATCGTGTTTTAAATTGTCATATTTACAATTTAACAAACCAATCAATCGGCAAGGACTGGGCCTGTTGTTATAAAGCCCCAAGCAAATGTCCATTTTGATGATAAGTCTTCGGCTATGGCCCATTAGCCCAATTAAAGAGAATTGTTATTCTCAACTCATTGGGCTCCACATACAAATAAAGTAATTTTGCTGTTTTCAACCAACACCCAATTTCCCAGCCCAATAGCCCCATCTCCTACAGCTAAATTACTTTAATGTACTAAATTTTGAGAAAAATGCATTTTAAACTTCAAAATTGAGAATCTATCTATACTATTAATAACATTTTTTTTATTAAATTTTGATATTACGAATCAAATAATGCAGTCAAAAAATTATAAAGAAATCAAATAAAATTATTTTAACAAATATATAAAATTAAAGATATTCATATCTTTTAATTTAAAAAATAATTTTCCATTTTAAAAAATCTATCTTTCTTTCACAAATTATTTATTTTAAAACATTTTTTTCTTTAAAACTCAATAATTTTTCTACTCATATAGGATTGTCTCAAATTCTAGTTATATAAACACTAAAGTCCACATCATCTATTTTCACATGGCAAAAATTTCATACCATCAATTTCAATTTGAAATATATATTTTTTTAAATCTTATAAAAGATGTCAATATCACACCAACATATTAATTGTAGAAATTTAATCCCCTTAATAATTTGATTTAATGGAAGAATTTATTGAAATATAAAAATTAAGTTTTGACAGATTAAGATAGGGAGATTGTTAAAAAAAATTTGTCATTTAAAGATAAATTGTACAATTTGATCACAAAAGTATTATGCTACCTATATTTTCCACTCCTCTAAAACTGTTGTCTTTGGTAAAAGAAACAATCATGAAAAACGTTAAGTTACTTACATGGGGGAAATGTAAAATTTTTGGGTCGTTTTCTATTTAGTTTCTGTGTTTCTTAAAATATTATTTTCCCTTTTTTTTTTTTTTCTAAAGATCAATTATTGATGTTGCTGGAGACAAAGTTAGAACGCCTTTACCAAAACAAAGGACAATCTTCATGGAGATAAATTTTTGCAGTACAATTGTTTACAGCGTCTCGTCAAGGTCAGCCCCACGCGAAACTCTCTCTCTCGTTGCTTTTATTTTTTATTTCTTGTGAT